AGTCATATAAGAAGAGAAATTAGTATTTTTTTGAAAAAAAATTCTTTTTTATTTTGGTAAAAAAAATTAATCATGACATTAGATTACTAATTTTTTTTAAAAAAAGAATTCATATCTTTTTTTTGGTTTGATTAAATCTATATCTATAAAAAAAAGCATCGTGCGACCGTGACGTTAAGACCCTGAGATGATGATTTTTTCCCGGGTGGCTTATGATCCAAATGCGTCACAAATTTTAGGTGAATCATTTATTTGTCGGTGTGTAATGCCATGATGCAGGCCAAAAATCACGTGACTGCAACTTTTTTTGTCATATCCGAATTCACAATAATGTTTTCAGATATTTGGTGAGTGAAATAAAATGTACGATAAAATGAATTTTGGTTGATCTTTTTTTTTACTTTATCTAAAATCATATTATAGATTCGAAATCATATCATAGATTTCTCTCGCTAAAATTAACATTCTCTATAATTTATTTGAGTACGAAAGATATGATTAAGCGAAAATTTGTGTTTAATTTATTTTATATTTACAAAGAAAGACTATTGAAATGTGAGAATCATCTCATAGTGATTGAAAAAAATGACCAAACACACAATTTAGAATACACACAGTAGCTTCACGCCAAGGGTATCCGGGCTTTTCGTCGAAGTCCATTTCATCGAAACATATTTCGCCGAAGCCATTTCACCGAAGGAATATTTCATCGAAGTACCATTTCGTCCGAAATACCATTTCACCAAAACCCATTTCACCGAATTCCATTTCGCCGAAGCCATTTTATCGAATGGACATCTTTATCTCGGCTATCTCTCTGATGCTTTCTTTTTTTATTACTTTTTTATCTCCTGTTTTTTCTCTAATTAAGTCCTTAGTTAATATTCCTTATAAAGAAATATTATAAATATAATCTAAATGGAGGTAATTTTTTTTTAAAAGAAAGAAATTTAATCCTTTTTCTATTTTATTTTTTCATTTCTGATTTAATAACTAGTATTAAATCAGGTGCTACTCACTGAACTCACATTTTGCCAAATGGACATTTCACCGAAAAATTATTTATTCCATTTAGTTATTTTATTGTTTTTATACTAAATACATAAAGAAATCTTTTCTAGAATCTAGATAAATTTTCGAATTAGCTGATTTTTATTAATTTATCTCGTTGTTTATAATACATACTTTTCGTGAATAAATGTTTTCAGGGATAAAGTTATTTATTTATTGCTTAACAATTAAGTATTAGCGCTAGTAGTAAATGAATGAGTTATGAAGGATGATAATCACTATATAAAATAAACTTTTGTGTATTTGTGTATTTGACTGCTTGACGAAACTTTTTTTTTCTTTTTCCTAACTCTTGATTTGGAGGGAATGAAAGTTCATATCACTAATTGTAATGTAACTATAAATATTAATAAAAACTGAACGTGAATGTATTAAGATGTATTATAATAATAGCAATTGTAACTATTCAATTAAACTATAACTACTATAGCTTATCATACGTTTATAAACGGCAAAAAAAATACTAGATGCCCATTAGTGGCCAGGCGATAATATCAGTTACTTGAATGTAAAGTGATAAAAAATCTAAAAATAATTTAATTTCATTTTCATTGCGCGATGAATATTTTTTTATAAAAATCATTTGGCGAAATGGAATTCGTCGAAATGATATTTTGGTGAAATGGATAAGATAAATGCACTTTCGGCGAAATGGATATAGGCGAAATGTACTGTAACTCACACCAAGAATGGACTTTATACAACTCTTTTGATCATCAAACCACTTAGCGTTATAATAAGGGTCTGGTTTTTGGTGATTATGGTAGTTAATGTGACATACTTAGGCTGGACCATTTTGATTTTTGTTTATCAAAATCCCCCCTCAAAAAATTTTAAATTCAGATAGGCACAAAAATTTATCATCCCCCCTTAAAAATTTGGTTTCTTACTATACATATTAAAAAAATAAATTTTTTTATATTCTCCCCACCATGGAAATCTAATTTTTAGATTTCTTTTTTTTTTTACTTTTTCCTCCCCCATATTTTCAAAATTTAATAGTAAAAAAATAATTTAAAAGATTTTGTAAATGATTTTTAACCCCCTCCCCCCTTTTATCAATAAAAACTCTTGTTAAATAGAAAATCCTATTGGCCTGGCCTAATATTGATATATTCTCATAATTCTTTCTAATTGATTTTGTTTTTTCTGTATCACTTAAATTAAGTTGGTATGTTTTTTAATCTTCGTAAGGGTTTTATTGACTTTTTGATATTGAACAATTAATAATAAAATCGTCTACAATTATTAGGCGTTGATTTTGACCAATAAATTCTAGCGGCCAGAAATGACGTAATTTAAATTTTAGGATTTTTGCTATGTCATCATTCATTTTAGGAAATGTAAAATTAAAAACACAATTCTGACTAGGATTATATTAACTACAAGTGTCTAAAAATGGAAGGTGTGTAACATCATCATGGTCCTAACCCCTTAGGAAATGACGTCATTTCTGGCCATCCCCTAAATATTTGATAAATTTTATAATTAAGATTCGGTGAATTTTTATAATTCAAAAAATTAAAATTTTTTATTATAATAAATAATTTTACATACAGTATAAGAATAAAAAAATAATGAACCCGCTTAAAAAATTTGATAAATTCTATAATTAAAAATTCGATAAATTTTATGGTAATATTTGCGAATGTTACACGACAAATTAAAATTATACGAATTATACGACAAATTAAAATAAAAAATAATCATAGTTCCTTTATAAATAATAGATTTTTTTAAAAAAAAAACGAAAAAGAATTCTTTCAATAAAAAATGGTATCGGATTTTTTTTATGCTAGAATCCATAGATATTGTATATAAAGCGATAAGAATCGTCAAGACTCTTCTTTCAATTGATGCCGTGAAACTGTGTTAGTGTTTTGAGTCTGTCCCACACTATGTCCCACACTATGCTCCAACTGTCCCAGACATGTCCCAGACATGTCCCATACCAACATTGACTGCCATGAAATATTGTTCAAAGAATTCTTACAAATTTTTTTACAATAATTATTAATTTTTGAATAATTGAATATTTAAATTGTATTTATTTTAAATTAGGCGTTAATAATCGACTGTACTGTACTGTAGGACGGGTTATATAATGAATCTAAAATTGACGTCATCAAAAAAGGGTCTGTACAAAATCCCGAATATCAAAAATCCCGAATGGTACGAAATCCCGAAAAATTGGCCAGCATTAAGCATAATGCTGGCCAGTTCAGGATTTTCTGGATTTTGAGTTTCGGGATTTCGTACCATGTAGTAGATATATATTTGAAAATTACAGCAAATAGAAACGCGAAATGTAAATATATAATAATGCAACACGAATCAATACGTGGTAAAAAATTTAAGGACATATAATCCCAGAACCTCACACAAATAAGATGGATTGCGCATATGCTTGCTCAATTTATTACACGTTTATACGCAACCAATTAAAACGATTTCTTCTGAGTACTTTTTTTTTTCTAAAAAAATAAACTGTCCATAAATTTTAAACCGAAGAACCAATTAAATTTCGACCAGAGTTAACGAGCACAAAAATCCATAATTACGATAATTTTCCAATAAGGTTTTATTGACAAAAATTTCGTTTATAAAATAAATTTATTTAGAAAAGAAAAAATTTTAATTACTAATTTTTAACTGGATGATGACTAAATAATTAATCATAATACAATTTGTTATACAAAATAAAAAAAAAGAAAAATTTCTTTGTTAAAATGAAGTGAGAATTTTTTCTTTGTTAAAATAGAAATAAAAAAATATGATGATACTGAATGAAAATAAATTAGGGATTAATTTTAATGAAACTGTATTTAGTTAATTGTGTAGCTAACTGGATGCATTTTATCAAATTTTGAGATCTAGTCCATGAACCGGGAACAATTAACTAATTAATACTGTGTATAATATTATTTCGTTATTTGCATAATTATAACTACTACATATAGTACATATTGTTAGTTATTAGTTATTACAGCATTTTTATTAGTATCTGATAAGTATTACAAATTTGAGGGTGCTATACTGCTATATGCAGATAATGTAGGTACCTCAGGGATAAACAGGTAAGGAAGATGTGGTACAAAATTCATATCATATTTTTAATTGTACCGTTTAAATTAAAATATTTAATTCTATTTATTATATACATTTATATAAAAATTTATTTTTTGTGTAATTAATTAAAACTTCATTCCCCACGTTTTTTTACTTATTCACTTATTCTAATTAAATTATGTTATGAAAATATTTTTAGATTCTTATATTCTTATATTTTTGTAACAAAGAAAAAATTATGAATTTTGAAACACAATGAATAAAATTTAACATATAATGAATTAAAGAAAAGTGGATATTTAAGAATTATGAAAATATTATAATATTAGCGTGTAACTGTACGGAAATGAAATGCAGGCGTGGCTGGCGTGCGGATAAATATTTGATCGTCGGAAAATACCGTTTTCTTCAAGAAAGAATTAACCATTTTAATAATATGTACAAGTAATGATTTCCTAAATAAAACAACAAAAAAAAAGAGAGAAAACATAAATTATAAAATAATCGTGTAACAATATTAACTTCCAAATAAACATTTGTCGCGATTGCATAATATAAAAAACCTGTACATTTAAAACGTTTTTATTCTTTTTATGTGCTTTAGTTTACGAAGGAGGTATTTGATAATGAGAACACGTAAATCTTTATTAACATTTGTTAGTGATTACGTTTATTATTTATCAAAACAATGAAAACAATAATTATAATAATTATTCGAAATTTCAGTCGTAACTTCCGCGAACAAATTATATTAAAAAAATTACTTATATAAAATACCCTTTAGCTGAGGAAATGGTTCTCAGTTGCAAATTTTTAAAAGAAAATAAAATAAAGAACTTCTCTCACTAAACAAAAAAAAAATGTATACCAGACAAATTAGAAATACTGAATCTGTTCGCTCTATTTTAAATAATTTATTAAATCAAATAAATTATGAAAATGTTTATCAGCTTCCTTATAATAATAATGCGCAAATACTTGCGGTTCTATCAAGAAGAAGAGCTAGCAGAAGAATTCAAAGTTTAACGGGAAGAATTTTAATGAGAAAGAATGTAGAACGTGAAGCTCTTCGTTTGCAAATTCATAATCGGTATATAATCAATTTGGCAACGGATTATATTTGGAATTCACATTCAACACCTTCCCAAAGATATCAATTTACAAATCTCGCTAATAACGCAAATAATATTAACCAAAATCGTGCATCAAGAGTTCGCTGGATAGATAATACAAGTACTCTTGTTAATATTATTCAAATTAACAATACTCAAATAACTAACAATTCTTTTGAAAATGATTTTTTTAATGGAACGAGATTTGATGATAACAACACTTTTGAATCTTTAATTTTACCTGCCGGATTTTAGAATCATCTTCATTTATCCGATAGATTTTTTTAAAAGTATTAAAAACTGTGTTTTTTCTTTCACTTTTCCATTTTAGAAATTTTAGAATCATATTTTTCTTCTACTTTGTATATGAGCGTACTTTTATTTAGTCGTTTCACATTTCCTATTTAAGAAATATCCTAAAAAAAAGGTCTTCCTTTGGAACATTTACATACATTTTGCATATTATCGATATTCATATAAATAAATATTACGACATTACTATTGTTTTATTTATTATACATATATATACATAAACTTTTTGTATACTAAATTATACTATATTATACTATATTATACTATATTATACTTTATACGTATGAGTTGAATAATAAAGTTAAAAATATATACATATATAATTGATTTGAAACTATTGAACTCCATCTGATACATCTGATACATCTGATGTTAAGGGATTAGATTCCATATAGAATTGTTCATGTCGTGAATTTATTTCAAATTACTAAAGTAATTACTTAAAAGGTAAATTAAAACCGAGCTTATACCTTAAAAGATTTAGATGATTTTTATAAGTTTTAATAAAAAACAAAAAGAAATGGAAAAAAAATGGCACCTGCATATATTTCAAAAAATAAATAAATAAATACGTAAATATTATATATTTATTAAAAAATGCTACAGCAAAACTGCGGAGTTAACCATATATGGTAATGACTTACCATAATTATACTCTTTAAATCTACCATTTGAGAATGATAAACAATTATTTATGACCGTGCGCCGATTCTGTTTATGCATGTATACGTTTATTAACGCTTATAAATTGATTATTTTATAAATTAAAAAAAAAAACAGATCGAATATTTTAAATTACGTAAGATGTATAAAATATATTAGTCATGATTACTCAGATGATCCTAAACAAACAATGAATGAGTTTTGTACAACCGAGAACTGGAATTAAAATTGTGAATCATCTAGATCTTTTAATCCCGTGTAACATTTTCGTGCCACTTGATGACCAATTGATGATGTCGCGAAATTATGTTAACACGTTACGTATTACGTATAGCTTTATATAGACATGTCTATGAACGAAAATATAAAAGAAGAATATTTCTCAAGCCAATTAATTCGAACGATTGGTTTATTGAATTCCGAAGTCTACTGCTAGAATTCAATATAATGATACGGAATAAACTATTTTGGAAATTATTATTGTAGAATCCTTATTTTTATTTTTATTTTTATTTTCTCAGTTCATAGATAATTTAAATTATAATCTTATCTGTAAAAAAAAAAAAAAAATTCTAATAATATGTCATATTTTATCATAAATATTGAAAATTAAACGTGTTTCCTTATTATTATAAGTCGGAATGTGTTAAATACTCTTTTTATTATTATGAAAAAAAAAATTAAAAAAAATTATTTGAAATTGCTCTAGTTTTTGTCAAATCGGAGAACCCGGATAAACCCGGAAGAATCCAGATTTTAATAATAGAATTTGATAGTTCAATGGTGTCACACTGTTACATTACAAACAGCAGGTTTACTATTGATAACGGATTTCATGCAACTTCATTCATGTATGGATTATTGTTGCAGAAAAACCAGAAAAACCTTAAAAAAAAAAAAAAATTCAATGAATATAAGCAAGGATTTGCTGAATATATGTGACTGTAATAATTTTGATACCAATTAATAACATACTTTTTTGTTATTATTTTTTTTACGATTGTTCTAACATTATTATACGTCTAAAACCTCCTGCCTTTAATTGAAGAACCGAAAAATTTGGTAATTTTATAGCATAAAGATATATTTATTTTTATTGCATAAAAAATTCTTACCTTTTTGTTCGTTATAAGAATGCTCATTATTGGAAAGGTTCGTTATCGATAATAAGCGGAAACGACTCTGTCAAAGTTCGTTTGATGTAAATTCTCGAGAATTTATTCAAGTCTTTCTCTATCCCTCCAAATGTAATCAAAAGCAATGTTACTCTTAACAGCAGCATTCATAATTTCACAAATCAATGCCCCAGCCCCAGCATCCTAGCGATTCCGCAATGGTAACCGAATTTGAATGAACAATGATTAGAACATCATCGGGGTACCTGCGGTAAATAATTGCAGATCATGCGCTTTACGAGTAAAAAAAGAGAGACTTTATTTGATGCATTTGCGTGGTATGATACTACTTTTAAATTTTGCTATTAGAATAAATATGTATGAACGTTACCGCTTGACTTTTCCTCGCTTGTCGCCGAAACGACTTTGAATTTTACATGGACGGTATTGGTTAATTATATAGCTTCATGCTACTTACAAAAGTTAACGGTTTGTTATTAAATTAAAATAATCAATTTCAATATTTAATTTCAATAATATATTAATTTCATTTGTGGCCAACCTCCCTACACACATTTCTCTTTATATTCACCATTTAATACAACTGCCTAATTTGAATTAATTAAATTCTTTTAATGATATTCTAGAATTTCAAATACCGAAAGGATGAAGCATTGGAAAATGACGATTCTTAAATTAACCGTTTAGTTTCATAGATTCTATATTTCCGACAAGTTTGCGGGTGAACCAAATCTTATTATTGAAGATGGAGGAAAAGCTTTAAAGCTTTTTTTAAAAAATTTGCTTAAAGTAAAAATCAAGGAAACCACTATTAGCGGAGAATGATGGATTGATATTTCTCAACCGAGCTTGGCGAAATTGAATTATCTGTGAAGATGTGGATTACCTCAATTATGTTATAATTTCCTGACAGACAATTTTTGGCCAGTATTAAAAGCGACACTTTTTTGGTAAAATTTTAATAATTATTAAGGTAGGAGTTGGTACTTAAAATCTACACGCTTTATATTATTATTATTCATTCAATGTCTTATTGTAATTATCAGGGAAATAATTCTAAATTCTGCGCATGTTGCACAAAGTTTTAACCGGTTTTTGGATATAATAGTTTGTAATATGAAAATATCTGTGGATCATTTGCCAGAGTACGTTCAAAATATATTTTTTTTTCTTATTCAATTAATATATAATAAATGAATTTAACCAAAATTTAGGAATTTAATGAATCAGGATTATCACCTTTTAAAATGAAATACGATTCAATTCTCACTAAATTCACCATATAATGGCAAATTTTGAATACACATCCAATATCAAAAACCGCCGATTAATTTAATTAGCGTCAAAAAAATTTTGTTACGGAATCAATTAAGAAGTTCAAACTTATTGTTTGTATAACGTACCTACCTCACTAAATTTAAATTTTTATATAAATATTTGTTTAAATATCTCCTCCTCCTTTAAATTTAATTTACGGTTGTTCAAAAATTTTCCAAAATTCCAAAAATTTAATTATGTTTATTTTACTTAGTTCGTTTATTGTAAAACTTCAGTTCTCCTTTTCTCAAAATTTTAATAAATTTTGGACGTTAAACAAACAATTATATTGGAGTAGCAACTGGTGTTCGAATTGGGTACGGTACAAAATCCCGAAAAATTGGCACACATTAAGCTTTAATGCTGTCCGAAAGTCGCTCTTTAAGAATTTGACCTGTCGGGATTTCGTACCTGTCGGGATTTTGGACCTGTCGGGATTTTTGGATTTCGGGATTTTGAACCTGTCGGGATTTGGGATTTCGGGATTGTGAGTTTCGGGATTTTGGACGGCATCCGTTTGAATTGGCTATCTATGGTTTCGTGGTTCGAGTTAACTTCACCAGTTATTTTTAGTCAATAATAAAAATCAATAATATAAAAGAACCTAAATCTCATTCGCCACAACTATCATATTTAATTGCTTACAGTAATGTGATTTATTTGAAGTACTTTCAATATAGAATATTAATATTATAAAGATATTAAGATTTCATAAAATGCGTTGTTAACTACTGCACCTGCACTTAAATTCGAGTCAACATTCCAGAATTAAATAGTAGCTAGCCAGAATTACAAATAGTCGGCCGGAATTATTAATCACGTGATACTAATTTGATACATTCAGCATTAAGAATATAAAGAAGAAAGAAAACAATGTAGTATGAATGGAGCATTTGGATTCATGCTAATAATTACGGTAGCAACGGTCGGTTAATCGGTTGGTCAAGACCGAGAATAACCGTTGCCGTACCGTTGCCATCCCTATTAACTAGATTCATGACGCGCATTTCTAAAGATAAATCATCATGTAATCGAAAGTCGATTTAAATCTTTAGAAAAGTCTTAACCTAATTAGTAATTCGTTGGTTCTTGCCCATTCTAATTGTGTATTTCAGTTCTAAACAATTACTATCCTAATGTTGAGTCATATACTTTTAAGTTTCTTGTAATATACCGGTAATTCTCATTTTATATTAAGTATCATACCGTTACAAAATTTTACTGGTATTTATTTGACAGTTAAATTAGTGGTATAAATAAGTATAGACGGTCGAGGGTAATTTACGAACGTGAATATGAAATATTTTAATCATATTTTTTAATGTATTTTTTATTTTATTTTTATTACAATTTGAATATGGATGTGAATATAAAGCAGTATAATGAACAAAAATATGGAATTTTTGATCGTTGTAATAATACCATACACATATGATAACTAATTGTAACATTAATTTTAGCATAAGAAAATTTAAACTTTCTTATTCATTACGATTCCTTTAAGAATAGGGAAGCTAATTAACATAAATTACAATGAATCATGGAAAAATTATTATTAATATTATTTGAAAATTTGCCGTAAGATTTGTATCAGTGAGTTTAATATAAATTAAGTATTAGAAATATATTAATTCATTATATAAAATTGAGAAATTTGTGATCAAATAATTAATTCGACGTGATTATTTCAAAAAAAAAAATATATAATTTCACAAAAAAAAGTCGTTTTAAAGCAAATTTCAAAAAAAAAAACAAACTTAGCTTGTTTATTTGAATTCATAAATATAGTATGTCATTAAACAACAAGCTTAACTCGTTACTATGCGT